GATTTGATGGAATTTTAATGGGATTTCTGCAGTCCCACCCCATTTAACCCCATTTCACTCGGATTTGATGGAATTTTAATGGGATTTCTGCAGTCCCAGCCCGTTTCATTTGGGTTTGCTGTGATTTTACCTGGATTTATCTTATCCCATTTAACCCCATTTCACTCAGATTTTCTGTGATTTCACTGGGATTTCTGCAATCCCACCCCATTCCAGTCAGATTTTCTGTGATTTCCCTGGGATTTCTGCAATCCCCTTTTTACCCCATTTCACTCAGATTTTCTGTGATTTCCCTGGGATTTCTCTCACCCCATTTAACCCCATTTCACTCAGATTTTCTGTGATTTCACTGGGATTTCTCTCATCCCCATTTAACCCCATTTCACTCAGATTTTCTGTGATTTCCCTGGGATTTCTCTCATCCCCATTTAACCCCATTTCACTCAGATTTTCTGTGATTTCCCTGGGATTTCTCTCATCCCGTTAACCCCTGGTTGCCCGCAGTCCATCTGGGAGCAGGAGCGCGTCCTGCTGTGGGTTTCTTCAATCCCACCCCATTTCACTCAGATTTTCTGTGATTTCCATGGGATTTCTCTCATCCCATTTAACCCCATTCCAGTCAGATTTTCTGTGATTTCACTGGGATTTCTGCAATCCCACCCCATTCCAGTCAGATTTTCTGTGATTTCCCTGGGATTTCTCTCACCCCATTTAACCCCTTGTTCCCCGCAGTCCATCTGGGAGCAGGAGCGCGTCCCACTGTGGGTCTCTGCAATCCCATTTAACCCCATTTCACTCAGATTTTCTGTGATTTCCCTGGGATTTCTGCAATCCCCATTTAACCCCATTTCACTCAGATTTGCTGTGATTTCCCTGGGATTTCTGCAATCCCCATTTAACCCCTTGTTCCCCGCAGTCCATCTGGGAGCAGGAGCGCGTCCCGCTGTGGGTCTCTGTAATTCCATCCAGTCAGATTTGTTGTGATTTTATCCCGGATTTCTGTAATTTCCCCCGTTAACCCCTTGTTGCCCGCAGTCCATCTGGGAGCAGGAGCGCGTCCCGCTGTGGGTGCGGCCCTACAAGATCCTGGTGGTGTCGGCGGACAGCGGGATGATCGAGCCGGTGCTCAGCGCCGTCTCGCTGCACCAGATCAAGAAGCAGTCGCAGCTGGCGCTGCAGGATTATTTCCTGCAGGAGCACGGCTGCGCCAACAGCGAGAGCTTCCTGTCGGCGCAGCGCAACTTCGTCCGCAGCTGCGCCGGCTACTGCCTGGTCTGCTACCTGCTGCAGGTCAAGGACAGGTAATTAACGGCTAATTAACCCAGTCGGGATGGCTGCGCCTCAAGGATTGGTGCATCTCAGGGTCTGGGAAGTTTTGAAGAGTTTTTTTCAGTGTTTTTCTATATTTTGTTTTTGATCTTTTCTGGATTTTTGCGATTTTTTCCTCAGGGCACGGTGGCAGAGCTGAGGGAATTTGTGTCATTTCGAGGAATTTGAGCAGGATTTCATTTTCATTGTTGTGTTTTTTTAAATTCCCGTGGTGTTTCTGGGACTCTCTGGATTCCTGCGGGATCCTGAGGGAATTCCCTGGAATTCTGCCCAGGCACAATCCTGCTGGACGCCGAGGGCATTCTGAGGGATTTTAGCCGGATTCATGTGAATTTTACTGGATTTTTTTTAAATTTCCCTGGGGTTTTCTTGGAATCCTGTGGGATTCCACGGAATCCTGAGGGAATTCCCTGGAATTCTGCCCAGGCACAATCCTGCTGGACGCTGAGGGCATTGTGAGGGATTTTTAGCAAGATTCATGTGAATTTTACTGGATTTATTTAAATTTCCTTGGGGTTTTCTTGGAATCCTGTGGGATTCCACGGGATCCTGAGGGAATTACTGGAATTCTGGCCAGGCACAATGGGAACATCCTGCTGGACACCGAGGGCATTCTGAGGGATTTTAGCAGGATTCATGTGAATTTTACTGGGTTTATTTAAATTTCCTTGGGGTTTTCTTGGAATCCCGTGGGATTCCACGGGATCCTGAGGGAATTCCTGGAATTCTGCCCGGGAACATCCTGCTGGATGCCGAGGGCATTCTGAGGGATTTTAGCAGGATTAACGTGAATTTTACTGGATTTTTAAAAATTCCAATGGGGTTTTCTTGGAATCCCGTGGGATTCCACGGGATCCTGAGGGAATTCCTGGAATTCTGCCCAGGCACAATCCTGCTGGATGCCGAGGGCATTCTGAGGGATTTTAGCAGGATTAACGTGAATTTTACTGGGTTTATTTAAATTTCCTTGGGGTTTTCTTGGAATCCCATGGGATTCCACGGGATCCTGAGGGAATTCCCTGGAATTCTGCCCAGGCACAACGGGAACATCCTGCTGGACGCCGAGGGCCACATCATCCACATCGACTTTGGCTTCATCCTGTCCAGCTCGCCGCGGAACCTCGGCTTCGAGACCTCGGCCTTCAAACTCACCTCCGAGTTCGTGGACGTGAGTGCGGCATTCCCGGCATTCCAGGGAATTCCAGGGGGGATTCCAGGGAATTCCCATCCCGGGCGGAGGGATTCCAGGTGTTGTCATCCTGGATTCCCAGGGGGTTCCCAGAGTTCCCATCCTGGAAGAATTCCCAGAGCTCCCATCCCAGATCCCCAGAGTTCCCGTCCCGGGGCATTCCCGGCGTTCCCGGAGCTGATCCCGGGAATTCCCGCAGGTGATGGGCGGCCTGGACGGGGACATGTTCAACTACTACAAGATGCTGATGCTGCAGGGGCTGATCGCGGCCCGCAAGCACATGGACCGCGTGGTGCAGATCGTGGAGATCATGCAGCAAGGTGGGGATTCCGGGAATCCCGGGAATTCCGGGAATTCCGGGGACTCCTCCCGCCCCAAACCCGCTGCTGGATTCCCCGTTCCTCCCTTCGCCGGGATCCTGAATCCCTTTTCCCCTCACCCCATCCCGAATTTCCCCTTTCCCAGGCTCGCAGCTCCCTGATCCCATTCCCCCCATTCCAAACCCAGATTCCCGATATTCCATCCCAGTTTTTCCTGTTTTTCCAGGCTCTCAGCCGCCATTTTTCTCCCATTTCTCCAGTCTCCAAGCCACCCTTTTTCCCATTTTTCCCATTTCCCAGTCTCCCGCCACCGTTTTTCCCATTTTTCCCATTTTCCCAGGCTCCCAGCTGCCGTTTTTCCCATTTTTCCCGTTTTTCCCATTTTCCCCGTCTCCCGCCACCGTTTTTCCCATTTTTCCCGTTTTTTCCCGTTTCCCAGTCTCCCAGCCGCTGTTTTCCCATTTTTCCCATTTTTCCCGTTTCCTAGTCTCCCGCCGCCGTTTTTCCCATTTTCCCCGTTTTTTTTCCCATTTTCCCAGTCTCCAGCCGCCGTTTTTCCCATTTTCCCCGTTTTTCCCCATTTTCCAGGCTCCCAGCTGCCGTTTTTCCCATTTTCCCGTTTTTTCCCCGTTTTCCTGTCTCCCGCTGCCGTTTTTCCCATTTTCCCCGTTTTTTTTCCCATTTCCCCGTTTCCCGCTGCCGTTTTTCCCATTTCCCCCGTTTTTTCCCCGTTTTCCCGTCTCCCGCCGCCGTTTTTCCCATTTTCCCCGTTTTTCCCCATTTTCCAGGCTCCCAGCTGCCGTTTTTCCCATTTTCCCGTTTTTCCCCCATTTCCAGGCTCCCAGCTGCCGTTTTTCCCATTTTCCCCGTTTTTTTCCCATTTTCCAGGCTCCCAGCCGCCGTTTTTCCCATTTTCCCCGTTTTTTTCCCGTTTCCCGCTGCCATTTTTCCCATTTTCCCCGTTTTTTCCCCGTTTCCTGCTGCCGTTTTTCCCATTTTCCCCGTTTTTTTCCCCATTTCCAGGCTCCCAGCCGCCGTTTTTCCCATTTTCCCCGTTTTTTTCCCGTTTCCCGCTGCCGTTTTTCCCATTTTCCCCGTTTTTTCCCGTCTCCCGCCGCCGTTTTTCCCATTTTCCCCCTTTTTTCCCCATTTCCAGGCTCCCAGCTGCCGTGCTTCCACGGCTCCTCCACCATCCGGCACCTCAAGGAGCGTTTCCACATGAACCTGACGGAGGAGCAGCTGCAGCTGCTGGTGGAGCAGCTGGTGGACGGCTCCATGCGCTCCATCACCACCAAGCTCTACGACGGCTTCCAGTACCTCACCAACGGCATCATGTGAAATTCCAGCGGGAAAAAATTCCCGGGAAAAAGCAGAAACGAACCAAAACAAACAAAAAATGTCCTTCCCCCCGCCCCCCGCCAGGAGGAAACGGGAGGATTCCAAAATTCCCGTTTTTTCTTCCCTGCCCCGAAAGCGACCTCGGGGCTGGGACTCTGCTGGAAAATGGGACAGAATTCCATGGAAAAGCCGGGAAAAGCGGCAGGAAGAGGAAGCCCGATGGGAACGGGGAGGGAATGCGGGGAGCTCCCCCTTCCCTCTGCTTGGAATTCCCTGGAATTTGTCCCCCCAATCCCATGGAATGTGTGGGATGGGAGGGGGGAGGGGTCTCCTGAAGGTTGGGAATCCCCAAATCCCGAAATTCCTGGAATTCCCGGCCCTGTGGGGTCCTTCCCACTCCTGGGACACGCGGGGGTGGCTGGGGGGGATTCCAGCTGAGATTCCCAGCCGGAATTCCCAGGCGGGATTCCGGGTGAAAATTCCAGGTGGGGAATTCCGGGTGGGATTCCCGCTGTTGTCCCTCCCCGTTTCCCGGGGAATTCCCGCCGGGAATTCCGGGCTGGAGTGTCGGACGCCAGGTGGGGGCGGTTTGGGGGATCCCAAATCCCAAATCGGGGAGGATCCGGAGCTTCCCAGGGAAGGAAAATTTCCTGGGATTTCCCCAGGCCCGGCCTGTGGGACCTGTGGGGTGTCCCCTGGGTGTCCCCCGGGTGTCCCCCCGTGTCCCTTGGGTGTCCCCCCGTGTCCCTTGGGTGTCCCTTGGGTGTCCCCGGGGTGTCCCCCAATGTCCCCCCGTGTCCCTCAGTGTCCCCCTTTCTTTTCTTTTTTTTTTTTTTCCCATTTTTAGCGTTAAAAAACCCCAAAATTTGGATTTTCAGCCCCCCGGGGGAGGGGGACACCGGGAGGGGACAGAGGGGGGACCCCGACCCTTCCCAAGCCCCTTTTTTGGGGGGCAGGACCAAAATTTGGGGATGCAGCCGGAGCCCCCCCCCCTCCCCATTCCCATTCCCGGGAGCTTTTCCTGGGAAAAGCGAAATCCCGGGAGGAGCCGAGGCTGGCACAGAGGGTGAAACCACTGGAGTTTAATGGAGTCGATTCCTACAGAATAAAGAATTCCTGAGAGCCTCTCGAGCCCGCGGCTTTCCATCAGCACATTCCCAAAATCCCGGCAGACATTCCCGAAATTCCGGCCCCTCCCTCCCTCCACCCCAATCCAGCTCAAGGCACTGAAATGCTGGAAAACCGTGGGTCCAAAGCCATTTTTCCATAGTTTTTTTTTTTTTTTTTTTTGGGGGGGGGAATTTTTTTTCCTTCTAAATCTCGTAGAAATTTTAATTCCTTCTCTATATTTACACCCGGCCCGGAAGATTTTTGGGAATGGCCGATTCCACCTGATTTTTCCCAGTTTTTTCCATCCATCCACCTGCAGGGAAAAGGGGGAACCCCTCATTCCTGCTTGGAAAAAGTCAGAAAAACCGGGAATAAAAACCCAGGGGAAAAAAAAAAAAATCAACCCCAAAGCAACTTCTGCCATCCCGAAAAACGCAAAAAACCGGGAAAAAACCCTTGGAAAAGCAAACCACATCCCAGAATGAGCACAGCAGTTGGTGGGACTCGTGGAGTTTAGTGTACAATACAGCTTTACAGGGAAAGGGCAGGTTGTCCACAGGGAATCCCGGGAATTCTTCCAGGAATTCTGGGAACAGCGGGGCCGGAGGGGCTTTTCCAGAGGATTTTTTTGGGGGATTGGAAGTGGGAAATGTCCCGGAAGCTGAGGGGAAGGAGGAGCCGGAAAAAGCTGGAAAAGTCCCCAGACCTCACCCTCAGCCTGGAATCTGGGAGCATTTTCCCACTTTTCCTTCAGAAAAGGGTCCTGGCTGGGATCTGAGGGATCCCTTCCCAATCCTGGTTTTTTTTTGGGTCGTTATTCCTTTGCCAAAGGAAAAAATCTCCTCTTTTCCTTCTTTTCTCTGCTTTTTTCCAGCCTTTTTCCTCCTCCTGCTCCGCGTGTCCCAGTGTCCTTCCCGGGATCTCGGGAATTCCAGGGCTCTGGAATCGCCTCCTTCCCACCAAAACACACCGGGAACGTTCCCAAAGGGGAAAAAGTCCAGGAAAAACAAACAAAACCCAAAAAATAATAACAAAAAAAGGTGGATTTTGCTGGAAAAGCTTCCCCTGCCCCATCCGCATCCGGGAATTTCTGGGAAAACCCAAATTCCCCCAAAATCCAACATTCCCAGGGGATTTCCAGTGGGATTTGGGATCATCCCAATCCCAGTCCCATTCCCAACTTTCCCTCGGACACCGGGAAGGGCTCTGGGGGTGTTTTATGTACACGGTGCCGATTCCCGGCCTCGGAGCTGATCCCGGGATTCCGGGAATTCTGAGATTCCCAGGAAGGCTCAGTTCTCCTTGCTTCTCATCCTGGAATTCCGGGAATGCAGAGATCCCCGGGAACGCTCCGCTGTGCCGGGGCTGATCCCAGAGTTCTCCTCGGGTCTCATCCTGGAATTCCAGGAATTCTGAGATCCCCGGGAATGCTCCGCTGTGCCGGGGCTGATCCTGGATTTCTGGGAATTCTGATGTTCCCGGGAAGGCTGAGTTCTCCTCGGGTCTCATCCTGGAATTCCGGGAATGCTGAGATCCCCGGGAACGCTCCGCTGTGCCGGGTGGATCCTGGAGTTCTCCTCGGGTCTCATCCTGGAATTCCGGGAATGCAGAGATCCCCGGGAATGCTCCGCCGTGCCGGGGCTGATCCCAGAGTTCTCCTCGGGTCTCATCCTGGAATTCCGGGAATGCTGAGATCCCCGGGAACGCTCCGCTGTGCCGGCTGGCTCCCGGGATTCCCGGGAATGCCGGCAGGGCTCAGTTGTCCTCGGCTCCCTGCCGGGCTCGGATGAACGCCATCCCGTGGGTCCGGAAATGCGTCTTGAGGGTGAGCTGGGTGTCGAAGGTCCTCCCGCAGACTTTGCACTCCAGCTTCCCCTCGGCGTTCCCGGTGTTCCCGGTGTTCCCGGCGTTCCCGGCGTTCCCGGCGCTCCCGGCGCTCCCGTCGCCGCCTCGGGAAGCGCTCCCGGAGGAATCCTCGGGCTCGGCGCCCTTCTTCTTCTTGTGGGAGATGAAGCGGTGGCGGCCGAGCGCGGCGGGCGAGGCGAAGCAGAGGCCGCACTCGCGGCACTGCGGCGCGCCGGCGGCGCGCTGCTGCGGGACGCGCGCCTGGAATTGCGGCTGGAATTGCGGCTGGAATTGCGGCTGGAATTGCGGCTGGAAGCCGCAGCGGCGGCGGCGCGCGGCGCGGCCCCGCGGGCCCCGGGCCGGCGGCGTGGTGCTGTCCGGCTCCTCGCCGCACGACTCCTCCGACGACGGCCTCGGCCGGCGGCCCGGCGCCTGCGGGGACGGCCGGGATCCCGCCCGCGCCTTCCCGGGAATTCCGGGAGGGGCCGGGATGGGAACGCACCCCGGGAACGCACCCCGGGGAACACACCCTGGGGATTCCCTGGGAATGGCTGGGATGGGAACGCACCCCGGGGAACACACCCCTGGGAATTCCCTGGGAACACACCCCTGGGAATTCTGGGAACACACCCCTGGGAACACTCCCCTGGGAATTCCGGGAAGGGCCGGGATGGGAACGCACCCCGGGGAACACACCCCGGGGAACACACCCTGGGAATTCCCTGGGAATGGCTGGGATGGGAACGCACCCCGGGAATGCACCCCGGGGAACACACCCTGGGAATTCCCTGGGAATGGCTGGGATGGGAATGCACCCCGGGGAACACACCCCTGGGAATTCCGGGAACACACCCCTGGGAATTCTGGGAACACACCCCTGGGAATTCCGGGAGGGGCCGGGATGGGAACGCACCCCGGGAAAGCACCCCTGGGAACACACCCCTGGGAATTCCGGGAAGGGCTGGGATGGGAACACCCCCTGGGAATTCCCGGGAATTCTGGGAAGGGCCGGGCTGGGAACACCCGCCTGGGAATTCCCGGGAATTCCGGGAAGGGCCGGGCTGGGAACATCCCCCTGGGAATTCCCGGGAATTCTGGGAAGGCCCGGGCTGGGAACGGCTGCCTGGGAATTCCTGGGGAACTGGGGCAGCTCCCAGAAGGAATTCTGGGATGAGGAGCCTCCGATCCTGCCACAAACACTGGAATTCCAAGAAACCCCGGGAATTCCCGGATAATCCCACCTGGGCAGTCCTGGACCCAAAACCTCCCCACTTGGGTAAAGTTTAGGGCTGGATTTGTGCGTTCCCAGCAGGAATTCCAGGATAAAAACCTGCCCCAACCCCCCGAAATTCCCAGGAAAAGCGGGAATTTTGGGATCATCCCACCTGGGCGGGCCCGGGCGGGCCGCGGGCGATGAGGACCTCCTGGCTGCGGGCGGGGTCGGTGCCCTGGATGCCGTGGCGCACCTGGATGTGCTTCTCCAGGATCAGGCGGCTGCTGAAGGTTCTCTTCCCCTCCGTGCAGTACCTGCGGCGCGGCAGCCCCGTTTTCCCGGGAATGCTGCAGCCCGGAATTGCCCAATCCCAACCCCAAACGGGAGGGACGCGAAGCCTGGAGTCCTTCCCCAAATCCTTCTCATCCCCGGAATTTCAGTTCCCATCCTGGGCGGAGCAGGTGGGAATTGAGCCCTGATTTTCCTGGGAATTGCACCCTGATTTCCCTGGGAATTGCACCCTGATTTTCCTGGGAATTGCACCCTGATTTTCCTGGGAATTGCACCCTGATTTCCCTGGGAATTGCACCCTGATTTTCCTTGGGAATTAACCCTGATTCCTTGGGAATTACACCCTGATTTCCCTGGGAATTAAACCCTGATTCCTTAGGAATTACACCCTGATTCCTTGGGAATTACACCCTGATTCCTTAGGAATTACACCCTGATTCCTTGGGAATTACACCCTGGTTCCCTGGGGATTACACCCTGATTTTCCTGGGGAATTAACCCTGATTTCCCTGGGAATTAAACCCTGATTCCTTAGGAATTACACCCTGATTCCTTGGGAATTAAACCCCGATTTTCCTGGGAATTACACCCTGATTCCCTGGGAATTAAACCCCGATTATCCCCTGGGATTTAAACCCTGATTTTCCTGGGAATTACACCCTGATTCCTTGGGAATTACACCCTGATTCCCTGGGAACTCCCCCCGTTCCCTCCGCAGCCCCACCGCGCTCAGTCCTGCCCGCTCCCTCTGAGCTCCCGGCCATCCCAACCCATCCCAACCCATCCCAATCCCATCCCAAACCATCCCAACCCATCCCAAACCATCCCAACCCATCCCAACCCATCCCAATCCCATCCCAACCTATTCCAATCCCATCCCAATCCCATCCCATCCCAACCCANGAAACCCAGCACTGCCTGGACCTGCCTGCCCTCCTTGGAGGGAGGTTTGGGATTGCTCCAAAGCCACGTTGCTCCTGCCCAGTGTCCCAGGAAAGACCCGGAGCTGTGGGTGCCCCGGAGCTCAGGCCAGGAATGCTGCAGGGAGCAGAGCTGGGATAATCCTCCCTCAACACCCCAGCAAGGACTTTAATTCACCAGCACAGTCAGGTTAATTCCCAGCTTTTTCCTGCTGCTGGAGGACTTTGTTCCGGTGGGACACACAAAATGCTCCATCCCGAGTATCCCAGAGGTTTTCCTGCCCAAAAGCTCCGTGTCCCACCTTCCCCAGCCACGCTTTTCCCCAGCTCCTCTGCAGCCTCCTGCGAGCGTCCGGGGCGCTGGGCAGGCTCCAGCCGCCGACGGCTCAAATTTTAATTGAGCCAGCTAATTGAGCGGCAGGGCAGCGGGATCGGATTGCCGCTCCCAGGGCGGCCAAGCCTTCCTCTGCCGGGCTGCTCGGCCACGGGGAGCGGGGCTCGTCCTTGAGCCGGAGCTCTGGGAATGCCCAGCGGCTCCGGGCCCCGCCGGGGAACCGAGCGGAGCCAAGCGGAGCCTTGACTTTGGACCATGGGCGTGTAGTCAGCGTCTCCTGCCGCCCTGGCTCTGCTCCAGGGGTGAAAGTGCTGCGAGATTGGGGTGGTGAAGTCCCATCGCAGCCCCATCGCAGCCCCATCCCAGCCCCATCCCAGCCCAATCCCAGCCCCATCCCAGCCCAATCCCAGCCCCATCGCAGCCCCATCCCAGCCCCATCCCAACCCCATCCCATCACAGCCCCATCCCATCCCAGCCCCATCCCAGCCCCACCCCACCCCACCCCATCCCACCCCATCCCGCCCCAGCCCGCCCCGCTCCCCCGGAGCCGCGGCGCTCCCGCCCGCCGGGCTCCCGGCAGTACCGGCAGGGGTAGACGCGCTTGATGCCCTCGTGGTTGACGCGGACGTGGCGGCGCAGGCTGGGCGCCGAGCAGAAGGAGCGCTCGCACAGGTGGCACGGGAACTTCTTCACCGACTGCGGGGACAGCCCGGCTCAGCGCCGCGGGATCGCCGGCATCGCCGGGATCGCCGGGAGCGGCCGCGGGCCCTGACCTTGCCGTGCTCCCTCTTCATGTGCGCCACGTACTCGTCGCGCTCGGCGAAGCGCGCGCGGCACGCGCCGCAGCTCCAGCCGCCGGCCCGCGCCGCGGCGCCGGCCTCGCGCGGGAAGCGGCTGCGCTTGGCCCGGCGCAGCTCCGGCGAGCTCGGCGCCTCCTCCTCCTCCTCCTCCTCCTCCTCCGTGGAGCTCGAGGACTCCTCCGAGTTCCGGGACACCGGAGCCTCCAGCGGCTCCGCCTTGGGCGCCAGCAGCGCCGGCCATTTCGCGCAAGAGTCCTCCTTGCATTGCTGCGGCTGGTGGGTGTTCTGGGAAAGGGAGATTCGGGAATTTCGGGCCGGGAGGGACGTTCCCGCGCGGAATAACCCGGGACGGGGTCTGGGATTCGTCCTGAAAATCCCAAAGGAACCAGGACAGGGAATCCTGCAATGGGGGTGGAAAGATCCCGAACCCCCCGAGAGCACAGCTCCCATTTCCTCCACTCCCCACCCGACTGCGGCTGCAATTTTGGCACTTTTGGCTGGAATTTTGCCTTTTCTAGCCAGAATTTTGCCTTTTCTGGCCGGAATTTTGCCTTTTTTGGCCGGAATTTTGCCTTTTTTGGCAGGAATTTTGCCTTTTTTGGCCGGAATTTTGCCTTTTTTGGCCGGAATTTTGCCTTTTTTGGCCGGAATTTTGCCTTTTTTGGCTGGAATTTTGCCTTTTTTGGCTAGAATTTTGCCTTTCCTGGCCAGAATTTTGCCTTTTTTGGCCGGAATTTTGCCTTTTCTGGCCGGAATTTTGCCTTCTTTGGCCGGAATTTTGCCTTTTTTGGCCGGAATTTTGCCTTTTTTGGCTAGAATTTTGCCTTTCCTGGCCAGAATTTTGCCTTTTTTGGCTAGAATTTTGCCTTTTTTGGCCGGAATTTTGCCTTTTTTGGCCGGAATTTTGCCTTTTCTGGCTGGAATTTTGCCTTTTCTGGCCGGAATTTTGCCTTTTTTGGCTAGAATTTTGCCTT